AGCAGGAAACATGGAAAGGACATGCATTTGATATGGTTTTTAGAAGATAAATGGCTAAATATTTTGGGGTTGTGTCTTTAAAAAAAAGAAGTATGTTTCCCTAGATAAATTCTAAATACCTCATATGTGGAATATAGTGGATGAGCAAACATTCGGCCTATTTCGTGTATTTGAAAATAGACTTATTGTGGAGGAAATATATAGTTGGAAGAATAATTTAGCAAATTTTATGTATACACCTTACTAAAGAAACATTATTTTTCATTGTCTTTTTTACATTTTTAAAAATTAAGCAGAAATAAAAAAGAAAGGATAGAGAATAAATAGAAAGAAAAAGATAAATGTTGCCAATTTCTGCCATGGGAAACTTTACTGTAAAAAGTGCTTACTTTTTCCAGAAGTCATTTGTAAACAACACTAAAAATAAACAGAATTTATATAGGAAGTTTCTGTGGAATATATTTCCCATTTGGATCATCCTAGATAAAGAACAACTTGTCTGGCATAGGCTATATCTACCTAATCAACCATAACCAATGTAAAGAGACATTTGAAACATCTGGATGACTCACGTTTTTTCAGTTCCATCTGAATATTTGTAATCATGTAGATCACTAGTGAACAATTATATTTTGCTTGTGCGTCAATCTGGGAAAAGTAAAGGCAGGCCACACTTTTCTGTTCAAAATTTAAATCACTTCATTTAGTTCCATGAAAAATATACATTCTTCCAGATTAAAATATCTACTTTGTTGGATAGAACAAATATTTCAACATTTTAAAAGGCAGCAGAACATCCTCTATACACACCCCCACACACAACTACTTTTACTCAACTAAAGTATTCTCAGAAATCCAAGTTTCTAAAACAATAAATTCAGACTGGTGGAATATTGATACTGAAATTAGATAACAAAGACAGTATAAAAAAAGAGAGAGAGAGAGAATTAGACTAAGTGTACTTATGAGCCTAGATGAATTGAGTCTATATGAGCCTATATTAAATCCAATGGTGTAAAAAAAAGAAAATATAAAGCTAATGCAGAGATGGTCAAAATCTGGAAATCTATTGACACATTTATTATACGATATTAACAATTTAAAAGTAAAAAAATAAGTAGAAAAAAGAAAAAATCATCTTCATAGATAAAGAATAATACTTGGTAAAATTAATAATCACTTATAGAAAAAAGAGCTCTTAACAAACTAGCAATATAAAATAATATTGCACGTCAACTGCAATTGAAAAAAAACTAGCAATAGAATCTTTATAAACATAATGACATACACTTATCAGAAATCTACAGCAAAAATCATGCTTAATGATGAAATGTTCAAAATGTTCCCATTATAATCAATGAAAAGACAAGAATGATTTTCTCTTCTACAATTAAAACTGGGTAGGACATTCTAGCCAAGACAAAGAAAAAGATAAAAAGAAATGAGCTATTGGAATTAGAAAGAAAAACAAATGTCTTTATTTGCTATGATGTGATTATGGGTGTAGAAAATTCAAGAGAAAAACAAATACATTAGAACTAATAAGAGTTTAGCAAGATTATTGGAATCAAGACCAGTATGCAAAAATCTCGAGTTCCTGTAACCAGCCATCTCTAATTATAAAATATAACGAAAAAATATACTATTCATATTAATAACAAAAGTATACATTACCTGGGAGTAAATGTAATAAAAATGTACAAGGAATTATAAAACTGGATTTAATGATATAAAAGGCTTGCATAAATGGTAAAACATATCACTTTTTCAACAGCAAACCTCAAAATTATAAAGATATAAACTCTCCTCATATTAACCTATACATTTATTATTCCAGCTAAAATCCCTAAATGATGTCTTTTGTAGAACTTGACAAAACAATCTTAAAATTCATATTGAAAAGTAAAGATCTAAAAATAACTACTGAGATTTTTATAGAGCAATTCTAATCAAGGTAAGTGTTATTGGCCCAGGAATAGACAAATAGATTCATAGAATAGAGTAGAAAGCCTAGAAACAGTCCCAGGCATATGGAGAAACTTCTAAAATAACAGCAGAGGCATACAGATCGGAGAGAAAGAGCGGACTATTTTATTAACAGAAAGGTTATAATCGATTATGTAGAAACAATAAAATTAGATTCACATTCCCACCCCACACCAAAAGAAATAAGTTATGTGAAAAACTTGAACATAATTAGGAAAAACTGTATGTGAATATTTTTAGAATTCTCAAATCATAAAAAATAGAACATACAAATGAAAAGACTAAAAATTTTAAAGATGTAGTTAAACTCGACAGGACAAATGCATGACACTCATTTATTTCTGCTCCTTGCCCAAACCACACAATAATGATAATAAAGAAATTTAAAAAATAATAATAATAAATAAATCCAACCGGGCAAAGAGTGCTGGAAAGGAGTCAATGCAGAGTTCAGATGTCAGCCAAATTTTGGAATATGGAAAATTGACGGATGGTTGGTAATTGACTTAACAGAGATGAGAAACTGAACTTTGGCCTTGTGGAGTAGAAGGCTGGGGACAAGAAAAATGCCAAATCAAGCCTCGGAACTAGGAAAAACTCAGAATTTGGAAGCCCTGGGAACCTCTGAACATGAGGGATGGAGCAGAAAAGAGGTTTGGTTGAAAAACCTGAGTAAGGAACTGTTAAAAGCTTCTATATTGTTCCCATCCCCTGCAAAACAAATAAACAAACAAACAAACAAAAACTACACAGACACAACCAGGTGAATACCCCTCTCCCAACCAGAGGGAACAGACAGAAACAGGAAGCACATTCTCTAAAGCGAACTGATGGCCTCAAAATGTCAGGCAAATCAGTGAACAGGTAAGAAGCTGTGTACTGAAAACAAACTTTTAAATGAAAGTGTACTCAATGAATACCGAAAAAGCCCCCAGTCTTCTCACTCTGTGGGGTTCCTAGTACACTAACAATCAGGTTTAAACTCTGCAGAAAGGAGATCAGAAGATTCCACTCCAAGGAAACTAGCATACCCATGGAATAAAGATCTAACAGCACAATTGAGGGA